CATCATCATCATCATCAGTTCCTCACTATCGCGTTGACAACGCTAACACACGCACACACGAGTTGCCATGCCCGAGGTGAGTTGGGCCGCATTAACAATACACGTTGGTGAGGTTGAAGTGCATGAAAAACGAATCGCCATCCTGGAAGGAAAGTTGTACGTGCTCGTGAGTGTGAGGAGGGCATAATTATGCGGTTCCAGACACGTACTCATCCCTCCCCGTTCCAGTAAAGGGGACGCTGTGTCCATCACCTCATTCACGACGCATCAGTTTTGATGCTCGGTCGGTGGAGGGCCTTCTTTTGCCCTATACTGACTTTCGTGATGGAACATGAAGTCAGTCCTGCTAATTCACTTGTGACTTTACCTTTTGGCGTGTGTCACCTCAATGCCTTTACTCCATGCGTTTACTGTGCTCTTAAGGTGGATGGTTTTGCTAGATGACCCTCAGCGTTCTCTTTGTTAGTAGGAGCCATTAATTGGCTGAATGTGAAGTAAAAGGTCATTTTTTTCCAGTCGGAGGGGCTAACTTGTGGAGCTGAGAATTGTACAATACCATTTCAACTTACCAAGCACACAGAACATATGGTTAGACCTGGCTGGCGTAGAAAATGTCTCAAGTTTGGTGTTGACAACTGGTTTATGATTACCACTGTCGTTGGGGTTATCGTAGGATTGGGCGTTGGTTTTGCTCTCCAGAAGGCCAACTTAAGTGAACAAGGCAGAGTATGGTTAAGTGAGTCCATTGCCATTCAATAGAATCCTTTGTGTATGCACTCGTAGACCTCTTTATCCTCATTCAGACCTTCCGGGCCGACTGTACATTCGTATTCTTCAACTCACCATACTTCCAATGATTGTGGCCAACATCATTACAGGTGGACGTCTATTTGGTTCTTTAATGCTCTGTTGATCCATTTGACTTTCAGTGGTCTCTGAGTTGAATCCAAGGACAAATAAGAAGCTAAGTGGTGTTACAATTGCCTACATTTTTGCTTCTAATATCATTTCTTCGCTTATTGGACTGACTTATGCTCTTCTAATTAGACCAGGTAAGAGAGCCTGCAGTTCCCCCATCTCCATTCTCAACTTCCTCAATCTTTCAAGGTGGTATTTGAAATACTAAAGAGTACAATGCTTCATTCTTAGTTCTTTTTTTTCATCAAAATTCTACTTGATGATGATATTTTAACAACAAAGGTGCATCACATTCGACTTCGGAGTCTCGTGCACCCTCCACCAAGGAGGCCACCAAGATATCCTACATCTTTCAGGATCTTCTACTGTGAGCTCCTTTACTTTGCAACCTATCAGGGTAATATTCTGTGCTGCCAACATGTGTGTGTGCCTGCTTTAGGAACATCTTCCCGAACAATCTTATCACCTTAACTCTCTCTCAGGTAATTAGTGGAGGTTATCGCCTAATCCCGACTTCCACAGCCTTGACATCCTTTATTTCATTAAGCCTGAGTAATATAGGCAGTTACTTGTTAATAGGCCCATTATTTCTTACAGGCTGGTACTGATTTTGATCATCCCAGAGTGAACAGCAGAAATGAAACCTACTACATCAGCATTTCCGTCCCTGGCACCAACATGATCGGCAAGTTGATCTTTACTGCAACTAATTTGGCAACACCTTTATTCTCTCTAGTTGAGTACTCCTTTCAAAGAGTCAAAACTCTATTTTCTTGGGTGATTCAAGTCCTAACTCTCTCTTTCTCTCTCTCTTCCATTTGGTTTCCAGGTGTCCTCTTCTGCTCAGTCGCTTTCGGTTTGGCCATCAATGGAGCCAAAGAGAAGGGCCTTCCCTTCAAAGATTTTTTTGCTTCACTTGGTGATATTGTTATGCTTCTTATGCAGAAATTCCTTTTGTAAGACAATTTCCACTTTTGTAGCCTTAGAGATTTGGCTAGATTTGGTAATTTTTTAAACTTTTATGGTGCCTTGTTTTAGAATGACTCCCATCTGTGTGATGTTTATGGTCATGAGCGCCATCTCAAGTGTGGATAATTTACAAGACACTTTCAGATCGTTGGGACTCTTTGTTGCCCTCAATTTTGTAGGGCAGTTCACTCACCTCATCTATGTCATCCTTTCTTTGCTCTGCTTGTGTAAAAATCCTTTTGGAATCCTTCGTCTCTCCCTTCCACCC